GTTATAACTACCGACATGTATGAACCCACCAGGAGAACTACTTATGGCCCATGATCACTTCCCCAGATGGGTAAAGTCTGAGGAATTTCACTTCGTCTTCAAAACATGATCAAATATCTGGGACATTTCTGCAGTTCAGACTTCTTTTATACATGAAAAACATTGATATTCATTTTGAGCTTGAGGAAAGTGTAACCGAGTACCATCACATGGCCAGTACGTATCTCAAAATCAACAGTATCTCTGACTGCGGTTTACAAAGTCATCAACTCACTATCAGAATGCTTCAGACACCAATAAACACGTCCTCTGTGTTGACAGTATTCTCTCCCATAACCTTTCCTTTAAACACTGCCTTGTTTGCAGTTACCCTTCACCCTGTTTCTCTCCCTCCACTTGTTTGTAGTGTTGCTATTCTTCACTCCTCTGCTTCCTCTCCTCTGCCACTTCACTGAGTCGATAAAGCCGTCCATCCGAACACCCAGAAAGAGCAGTGGAATTTGATTTACAGACGACCGCCCACCAGTTTGTCGCCTATGCAGAAAAATGCTCAGCTCAGACACTTGGAGCGCTTCTGAATAGGAGGAGGAGGGAAAGCACAGCGGGGTCTGAGGTTGATTGATTTTTACTGAGGAAGGGAGGGCCGGGGTAGATGACCGATCGCATTCTGATGCAGCGCCAAGTGATACCAAGGAGAGATCCGCATGTCCTCCGCCTGAAATCACTCAATAATTCTTAAAGATCTAATTAATATTTTTATTATCAAAAGATCAAATAACTACCTGTTATGTGAGGGAGGGTTGTCACAAACTGAGCTTTTAAGCCTGTACACTACCTACCCAGCGCCAAACTCAGTTAACTCAACTCTGCACCAGCTTTACACACATTAAGTTTTGACACTTCTTCCTCAAATATTGGCACTTAACTTCCTGTTAAGTTGTCCTGGAAGTTTTGGTACCCGGACTTGTACCCCTGGTCTCAGATATGTTCATCTATATTGTATGTATACAGTGTGTGCACATAATCTTGATCAATCATCCAATTACACATGCAATTTCAACTCTAGATTAAACTTCCCTCAGCATTTTATTTACATTTAACGGAATGGATTATAAAAGCATCAGTAGAAGCTATATTTTACCCTGAATCAATTTAAAAAATCTAATGATTGTCAGTAATATGGACTTTCAGTGGGCCTCAGGATCACAGCAAGTGTCTTCCTCCTCATTCTTCTTCTCCTGCTCTTTCACTCCCTCTTCCCTTCATCTCCCTGAGAAGCTGCAGCCTGTGATCGCTGTGAACAGCTGTAAAGGACACATACCCTCAGACCTGTCATCCTCAGTTTGTGTGTGTATGTGTGTGTGTGTGTGTGTGCATACTGATTCACATTCCTGTGGTCAGCAGGGAGTCTGCAAACCCACTGTTGTCCTGCATAACTCTGTGTGCATCATTGTGTTTATGCATGTGTGTAGGCTCTCCCCTTCTGTCCACTGCGATGCTGCTCGGAGAGTAAATGTTTGAACGCGTGAGTGGAAGAAACTAAAGAAAGACGAGGAGAATCGTTTCTTTGTCGCAACACAACACAGGAGCTGTGTGACAGCTGTGTATTTTTCTGCATTGATTATGTCTGCTTTATGTTTTCATACCACCCTGCTTATGCAACGGTGGTCTGAGGTGGAAAACATGAAGAGAAATATTAGCTCCAGATAACCTTGCTGTGGTTTTATTGATTAATGGGATTATCTGCGTACCAAGCATGAAGGTATGCACACATTTTCAGTCTGAGCCGTATAACCGTCACTCTCTGTGATCAGGAAAAGTGTGTGTGTGTGTGTGTTATTGGGCTATTGGCTGGTGGAGGTTGGCAGTCGTGCCCACATGAGTCTGTGCCATCTGGAATTGGTTTTTGCACGGTTCGGCCCAAACTGAGGAGGCTTTGTGCTCGCTCAGCGCTGCACAAGTGAGGAGAAAACAATGGACAGAAAACACACTGTTGAAAAAACTAAAAGGCGGAATACACTCAAAATATTTCACAAATAAAGTTTGTCACGAGTCTGTATATGTATGTGTGTATATTATTCTCTTTCTCTATTAAGCTAAATGTAAAAAAGGACTTTTTGATTGAAAGTGTGGCGTAGTGGTGAGCGCTCTTATTTTGGAAGGGAAAGGAAAATGTTATCTTTTACTTGATAATATTTTGTTGATGTAATTATGTTACTTTTTCCTGCTGGGAGGCCTCTCACATCAAAACAACAACAAAAGTCAAAGTCTGATGACATTGTGAAGCAGTGTGGGATCATGGGAGTTGTTGTCTTCACCACCATTGCCGTCATTGCAGTCAGCTTCTCCCGGTT